CAGTAGACAAGTCTTGTCACTAAGAGAGTAGAAGGATCTGACCTCGGGGCCGATGTGACCAAGCGCTGGTAGCGTGGTTTTACCTCACACCCATGGTCTCACAGTGTGTGCCGGCAGTCGCCGAGCAGTGTCGCTCACACAAGCCGCAGCACAAGTGACTGAGGGCCAGTGAGGGCGAGCCAATCGCTGTCACAACTGTGGCAGCCGCACAGTAGGCTGTGTCAGCTGTGCAGAGTGTGTGAGCAGCAGAGGAGCTGCTCTCCAGGCTTCTGGCGCAAAGAGCTGCATGCCATCGAAGGCGCTGTCGAGGTTCGCCGAGCGCGGCGCAGGTTGGAGGACACCGTCACCGACGAGCGCGTTGGACTTTTCACTCCGGACAAAGACCGCTGCACAGCGGACGGTACGGGCCGTGCAGCGGTCATAGCGGCGAGGCGCGGGACCGTCTGTGGCGAAGTGGGTCGCGTCCTCCGATTTCCTCAACTCACGGTCCACGCCCTTTATATCGACCTCATACACGGCTCTAGGCTCTACGGCCTCGACGCGCCGCGAAAGCGTGAGACTGAGCGCGCACACAGACTCTAGACATCGCCGCGGACACGACCTGGTACTAGCTCCTACACGTACAGCGGACCCCACAGCCGCGGACCTCAAAACCTCCCCTCGCGAGTCGCACTGTCACACGGCTCCGTGGCCAAACCCGCCCCCGCCTTCATCCGAGGGCGCGCTCCGCAAGTCTAAGCTGGTGTGCTGCGGCGGCGGCGGCTGCTGGGCACGCAGCTGCTCCGCCGCCGCCGCCTGGAGGTGCTGCGCCGCCGCGGTCCGCGCCGACCGCGTGGGGTCGGGAGCTGCGGCGGCGCCGTCGGCCGCGGGCGGGGCGGGCGCGGCCGCCGCAGTGCCGAACGAGGAGCTGCGCCGTGGGGTCGTCTCGGGGATCATGCTGACGCAGACGGCGCCGCCGGTCCCGGTGGACATCGCGCGGGAGCGGAGCCGCCCGAGGCGCGGCGTGGTCGGCTTCGCGCTGGCGAGCGAGGAGGAGCGGGCGACGTGCGTGGCGACGTGATGTGCCGTCGTGCGCGCGCCGTCGAGGCCGAGGAGCAAGAGGATCGACTTTGTGAGGGGCGGGAGGTACTCGTCGCCGCGCCGCATCGTCGACGAGGAGACCGCGACGGCGGCGCGCCGCTCGTCGGTCTGCGTGAAGACGGTGAGGACCACCTGCTGCTGCCGCGCCGAGAGGAGGCGCAGGTTGCAGCCGTGCCGGCGCGCAAACTCGACGAGGTAGAAGACG